ATAGCGTTGATTGGACGAAGTGGATATATAGTGGAGTTGAGATAAGCTGCAATTGGTCACATCCGCAACCTTCATGTTCGCTTCCGGAGGGATCATCCTGTAGTCCGTGGCCTCAGGAGATATGAAGTACAAACAAGAGCCAGCATCATGTAAATGTTTCCAGTTACGCAATGACACAGATCTCGGGAACACAAGACAAAACCCGATGTGATTGCCTGTCTTATTCATTGTTTGCCAACGGGGGGGTCACTTGATGCTTGCCCTTCCCTCGAGTTGAGATCCAATGTGGACCCATGTCTCGGCTTGGGTATGATGCGTCCCAGTTTCGGTAGAAGGGTGAAAGCTGTTAAGTGACTACAGCGCTTTGTTGCATACTGGATTTGACGCGACGCGAACGTGTAAGAGAGGTGTCATGAAGGTGATGCACGTGCTTCAGTATAAAATGGGATCTGTTTCCAAGACCGTTTTTAAGCTTATCATCTCATCACCACAAGTCAAAGATCTTCATCTGATAAACATGTGATGATACTTTTCAAGTTTCACGACATTTGTTTGTCCCTTAATTGAATTCGATCATCTTGTAAGACGATGCTCGGGAAACGGTGGCATTACGGGGCCGTCATCAATCCCATCCGTGTCTTTTCGGGATTGGGGACCTTCCCCTTCCATTTTGATCTGTCCTCACCAGCCACATTCAATTGGATGGTTTTATGAGTTCTAGATCGTATTAAGCTCTGAATCAGCTATGCATAATGCATATGTATATTCGAGAACAACCATGATCAATCCAATAACTTGAAATTTTTTAACTGATTTAAAATGTCTTTCGTCTTAATCAATCTCATTATCATGATACTACCAACCTCTACCATATTATCATCCCCAGCCACCCACATCCATGACAATGACGGTGACAATGGCCCGTGCACCACCCCATAATCGTTTTGATACAAAACTCGGTCAACTAAATTTTTCTATCCCCTCAGACCCAATCCCCTTGCCAAGTTGGCCACCCCGTTAGAGACAAGTCAACCGCTCAGCGGAGTTTGCCTTCTTCCCTCATAAATACCACCGCGCCTCCGACCGGGCAAAATTCACTGACGTGCACGCGCTTTTCCCTCAGAGGCTCCCCTTAGATCCAACCCCCCCTACCCCCTCCCTCTTCCGGTTCCCGGCCAGCAAAAAAAGGCACTGAGCAGCGCTATTGCTCCCACTGGCAAAAACTGAACTGCGACGCAACTGGCCACTCACAGTTTCTTCCCTCTTGGCGACCACCTTGCACCTTTTCAGTTAACGGCAAAGCACAAAAAGCACCTTCCGCGCCCGATCACGATAAGAGCTCCTTCCAGTTCTTATTGTTCTCGAAGCCGGCGATCACCACCAAAAAAACCACCGCCTTCCTCCAATACCTTTATAGGCACAAACACATCTTCCAATCGCCCTTATTCACTTTCACAACCATAATCAATAATAGGTTTTGTGATTCGAGAGTATTCTCTGAATTGCTTGAACTGTTTCGTCTTTTGATTAGTCATTTTTATTTCTCCAATTTCTGGCCTTCTTCTTTCTTCTCTTTTCCTTTTACGTACTCTACCTTGTATTGTACCTATTGCTGCGCTGTACTGCACTGCACCCTCACGCGCAAAAAAAGACTCCGTCGCGAAATCAGCCGTTCGATTTCCATTGTCAGCGTCATTGCTTCGGCTCGACTCCTCTTTTTTTCCACGTCGACCTACCTTGCTCTTTCCTCTCACAGGATACGAGCTATTGCCGTCGACTCCGCCGCCGCCTGCCAACCTTACCTTGTCTTTTGCCGCTAGGCTACCAGAATTCAAAGGAGCTACCAATATAAGATCGCGACCCCCCGCCTTCTAATCCAATTTCGCAACTGCGCGACGCGCCTCCATTCCTACGTATCCACCTCTCAATCTCCATCGCGCATCAACACCACGTCGACTCGCGATAATCCTCAACTTAGCATTTTCACGTGCGCATTATTATTTCATGTCGCGACGAGTCAACTAAGCTAGACTTGTATTGACGCGCCTTTATCGCGAACAGCCATTATGGCTTCGCCAACACCCGATACGACCGCTCCCGCAAACGAGAATACGTCGCGCGATGTCACAGCAGAGAAGGAACAAAAGTCCGAAGTCAACGGGTAAGTTGCCCCTCAGTTCTGATGGCACGCTGTTTTTTGCCTGTGCCATCGTGTGCCGTTAGGCTGTGATGCATCGCGCAAACGCGTACACAATTTCTCAGCACTTTCTGACATGTTTATCAGGCATGCGACACCTGAGAAGCCAAAGGACACGCCTGAATCTGCGCCTGTTAATGGCAACAAAGCGGACGATCATCCAGTCGAGAACGGTGTCAACAAGGACGTAGAGATGACAGAGGCGCGTGATGAGAAGAACCCCGCTCAAGAACCTTCAACAGACGAAAAGAACGATCCCAAGTCTGAAGGCGATGATCAGACAAAGGAGACTGGCGATTCCAAATCTGTGGAGGAGCCTAAGGCTGTGGAGGGCTCCAAGCCTACAGAGGAGGATGTCGATATGACGGATGCTGTGCCTGCAGAGAAGCCCGTTGAAGATGCGACCGAAAAAGAGTCCAAGGACATCGATATGGCGGATAAGCCTGCAAATACTCCTGAAAAGGTCGAGGGAACAGACAATAAGGCACCCGCTTCCTCCAACGATACCGCAGCTCCCGCCGAAGAGGCTGAAGTCCAACCTACCAGCCTGTCTCAGTTGGCTATCGATACCAAGGAAGCCGATGCCCCTAAACCTTCCACCGAGGTGTCCATGCAGGATGCGCCCGTTGGGGACACTTCCGTCAGCTCTAAGGTAGCCCGCGAACGTGAGGATGATGCCACAGATGAGCCTGCCCCAAAGCGAGCCAAGACCGAACCTAAATCAGAAGAACCCGCCGACGCTATGTCCACTGCCTCCAAGGCCGAAGCGACTTCTGCTGAGTCGGCTCCTGATAAGGAGGTTTCTCGTTTCGCTGGTCTTACCAGATGGAATGAGAACGACTTCAAGAACCAAACGCTCACCCCTTTTCAACGACGCGAGTTTCGCAAGGTGCTGGGACGCGTGAAGAAGACAAAGGCTGGTGGCCACTTCAAGGACTCCGTCCCCAAGATGTGGCCTCAACTCGCTGAGAGTTACTTGGCCAAGATCGAGAAGCCTATGGACCTTTCCGAGATTGACCGAACCCTGCGTGATATTAACGGTGCTTATGTTACGGTTGGCGATTTTCAGAATGACCTAGTTCTCATGTATGACAACACGCGCAACTTCAATGGAACTCTCCATGATGTTACTGCTGCTGCGTTCAATGCCATTCGAAGCATCTGGGAAGAAGTTGCCACTATTCCACAAGAAGAGGCAGTCAAACCCAAGCAGGTACCCAAGCCCAAGCCTCCCCGCGAGTCGCGCATCAGCACTCTTGGTGATTCTGTTGCTCGCAAGCCATCTGTTGGACCTGGCGTTAGTCCCGCCGCCGAAAGCGTGTCGTCAAAGCCGCGGCTTGGATCTCAAGAAGCCAATACCGCTGCTACTGAACTGCGCCGTGCCTCATCTGCCACTGAGGGTGACCGTCCCAAACGAACTGTCCGTGCTCCTAAATCAAAGGATATCGACTACACCACCAAGCCTTCGCGAAAGAAGCTCAAGCCTGAGCTGCAGTTTTCTGAAGAGGTTCTGAACGATTTGATGAGCCCCAAGAACCATGCCATCAACAACTGGTTCATGGAACCAGTTGATGCCGAGGGGCTCAATATTCCCCATTACTATTCCATCATCAAGAAGCCTATGGATCTTGGAAAGGTGTCCCGCATGCTGAAGAATGGCGACATTACCAACATCAAGGATTTTGACAAGAATGTGCGGCTGATCTTTTCCAATTGTTATACCTTCAATGGTAGTGTTGACCAAGGCAATACTGTGTCATTTGTGGCCTCTCAATTGGAGGACTATTACAACAGTTTGATGAAGGACAAGGACAATTGGCTGGCCAGACACGCCAAGGTACATGCTCCTGCTGCTTCCCACGGTAGCGACGAGGAAGATGAGGACGAGGATGCTGATGGCGATGAGGTGGCAGCTCCTCCAAGTGCTGACCACAATAAGGAAGTGCGGGACCTGGAGGCTAAGCTGAGAGAGGAGAGTGAGAAGCTCACCGACCTTTTGTGTGCCGATTCCCCCAATGAGAGCATGGTTGCGATGCAGAAGAGTATCGTTAACCTCGTACAAGAAAGTCTTCTCAAGGCGAAACAGGCTCTCAGTGCGCACCGCTCGAAGCATCCCGACAAGCCCGCTAAGAAGGCCAGTAAGCCGAGCAAGCCCAAGCCCAGTGGATCTGCCCCTCGCAAACCCAGTGGAAATGTGGCAAATCCTAAGAAGCCCAGTGGCACCAAGAAAGCTGTGAAGAAGACTCTCAGTGCCGCGGATAAGGACGCTATTGCTTCTGCCATCAATGATCTTGATGGTGCACAGCTTGACCGTGCTATCGATATAATCAAGCGAGACACAGGCCAGAATGTAAGTTGACCAGTAGCGGTCGTGATAGTGACAACGTACTAACGACCCTGTAGGAGAATACCGACGGAGAGCTCGAGCTAGATATCGACCAGCTGAGCAATGAGGCACTGCTCAAACTCTGGGAACTCTGTAAGAAAGTGTTACCGGGGTTCGGAAAGGACACCAACGTGCCATCCTCTCCAGAAGTGACCCGAGCAGCGCCGCCTAAGCATACGAAGGCATCGTCGACATCGGCGAAGCCCAAAAAGAATAAACCCATGAGTGCCCGCGAACAAGAGGAGCGGATTGCGCAGCTTCGTGATCTGAGTAACTTGTACCGGCCGGGCCAGGAGCCTGGCGATAACCAACCTGTGTTGCAGGCTCCCACTCCTACGGCCGAGTCCAGTGATGAATCGGACTCGGAGGAGGAGTAGACATGACGGCGGGTTGAAGGATGGATTGTATGAGTTGTATGACTTTTTGGGAGCTTGGATGTTTCGTCGACCGGAGAGCATCAGCCACCATTATACCCAGCCGCATGGCTACACCAGGTGTCATGCTTGCTCAAAGGGGTGACGTGGTGTGCTTGACCAATACTCGAGCATGCCGCCTCGGATGAGGCAGACATAACCAAGCCTGATGAATCGATAATGAAGACGTCGTCATAGTTCTTAGCGAACATGGACATTGGGATCAACAGGGAGTACCTGGCGCAAAGAGGCATAGGGCGATATGATAATAGCTGGCTTTCTGGCGCGAGAAAGCATCGAGTTGGCTTGATGAGGATTTGTGGGGGCAAGGCCATAGTTTTGGGGAGATACCCTGGCTGAGGAGAATCGGTAACGCATGGTTGCTTGGTACTATGCGCCAAGGTGAAGTTGGATGGCAGCGGGCATCCGAGCCGCTTGTCGGTAATGTGTGGCTTTAGATGTAACCATAGCGATAAGAAACTTTGTTATCCCATTGAGCTGTGGTCGCGTACTGTGATGTACATGTTGGAGCAGTTATGATTGAATGCTGCTGGGCGCTGGCCGGGGCGACTGGAACGACTCGAGGTTGATTGAATGTTCGTTGGGCGCGTAGAGGTCGATCTCTCCGTGTTATTTGGAAGCCATCTTATAGTGGCGCAAACCATTCTCGTGGGACATGTCCGTGTGCTATGATGGCAAACTTGTGTCTTTGATTGCGAAGCCACGGTGACTGCAATTGCCTCGGACTTCCGAACGATGGTTTCGGTAATGAAAACGTGGCATTTCGCAGGAAAGGTTTCTGTGGTCGAGTTTATAATCATCAACTCAGTTGTAGTGCAGAAGTTGAGTGTCGTTTGTGTTGGTCTTTTGTGTAAGGTATCCGAGCTTGGTGACGCTTCTGAGGCGGCAAGAGCGTCGACTTTGAACCAGAAAGACATGAAAATAAAATACTCCACCAAAATAGAAAGAAAAGCATAGGGGTCGAGGAATGGGAGTGAATCAGAGAGGTTGTGATGTGGGAGACGAGGTATCAGTGATGGGCTGAACGCAGTGGGAGAATGTCATGATAGGTAGGGAATAGATATGCCAATACGAAAAGATCTGGGAATGGTGCAAGTCATGCCGAAACTGGAGACAAGCTATAAAACTTCCAATATAGTCTCGTACTTACGAGTATAATGCAGAGAAATGGCCATCAGTGCATATCAAACAAGTGCTCTGCTTCTGTCGGCGTGAAGCAGAGTCCGTCTGATGTGTCAAGGCGGGGTTGGAGAAGGTCAGCAGACAAAGAGGAGAAGTACGTACCATTATGATAACAAACCAACTATAGCTCATCATACTGGCAGGTACGGGTAGTTATTTGTCTGAGATTCAAGTCGTAAAATGAAGTATTCGTCGTCGATGATTTTATCGCTGGTAGGTTTTTTCTTTGCTGGTTGAAATTTGGGGGGAGTAAGGTGGACTTTTTTGGTGGGCTGACGGGGAGGGAGGAGTACTGTTCGGGAAGGAACCTCGCCTCGCCAAACGGCAAACAGTGTGTGTGATATTGGTGCTGGGAGACTGACTACCCTGGACAAGACTTTAGACTCTAGAATTTGGTGACCAACACTGATAAACATCGCTAAGGAAAACGATGTGATAGTCTTCGGAAGTCAAATGAACTGGGATTGGTTTGTACACACAAATGCCTTACATCTTCGACATTCGTTACTGGGTAGTGATTCTTGGATAGCCACTACTGGGGCGGAGACGCTCATTTATCGCTTGAACTTGTAACGATGCGATTAAATTGTATGAAACTATTGTAATTAGCAGAGGGTGTAACAACATAAACTACCTAGGGGAGGCAAGAAAACTTAGGACCTAGATCCTAAGCGACAAAAATATTTAGGTAAAGTAGTATAAGCCTAGGGAGACTCTTTAATGAGTTTATTTTGACATCCTATCTCAAGGTCTGAAGTTTTCCTGCTCCCTAGGGACTACCTAATTACCTGGTTGTATACTTAGACGATATGCAAAGCTCAAGTAACAGCACCTTCAATTCATAATGAACCAACATCTTCAGGTTGCATTACCACTACACGTCAGACTCCATCGGCACAGGAATCTCTCTCCTCAACCTCTTCTGAATCTCCTCCAAGTCATCCTCATTCTCCTTCGTGATAAATCCCTTCCTGGCCAAGAAATCAATCATGACAGGACACACATTCGGCTTGAACTCTCCCGCCAACATACGCTGTAACACCTCTCCACACTCCATCAGCACAAACTCCTCCACTTCGTCATCTCCTGGTCTAGGAACAACATCCTTCGGCATCTCTAGATCGAATACGTAGATATTATCTGAGTGAAATAGCTTTGAATTCGGGCTGATGTTCGCCAGCGTTATCGCTCCCGCGGGTTCAACGCTCGATGAGACGAGATCTGGTGGAAGACAAGCTTCTTCGGTAGATTCAGCTTTGATACACGCAAGTGGTGTATCGCTGGCTTTGACACCACCAGCGACAGTACTATCCAGAAGACCAGGGTAACTGAAGAGGTGACGACTTCGTCTCGCGACCCAAATCTTTATTTCGCCATCATCACCACGCACATACCCCGTCAAATGAGCACCCCTCGTCGCAATGCCAAACAACGGAGCAGCGAATCTCTCAACCTGTACAAAGCTCCTTGCACCGACTATACGAAAGTACTCACTGTGTTCCTTGTGCAAAATAGGAAACAGATCATCGTCAATGGCTTTATCAACGGCTTCTTGAAACGCAGCATTTGCGTGCTCTGTAAGTGTTGAGCCAGATGGGGGGTTGCTTAGTGTGACGGTGCGGTTGTCGTGGTCGATAGTGAAGGATGTGGGCCATGGCATTAGGGAGACTGTGGCGGGGAGGATGAAGCCATGAGGGCGAGGGTCGGGCGATAGAAAGAGACGGTAGTAGGGGGTGTAGTTTGTTTCAAAGTCCAAAGGAGCACTGGAGGTGTTAGCTTTGTGGGAGATTTGTGAAGAGGGAGAGGACTCACTTGTCAATGGCGGTGATGAGATCGAGCAGTTTGAGGTCTGATGGAGGTGTCATGATGGTGGGGGTGGGGTGAAGACACCTCTGTTGATACATGAAATGGGCTGAGTGCTTGAACGGTCTTGTTGTTGAAGAGGTTGGAATGGGATCAAGATAAAGAGTCGACGAGAGTGGAGATGCATCTAATTCTGACCGGACAAGTTGGCCAATGTGAATGGAGAGTTGAACCACAACCTCCTACGACTGTTTGTTTGTATCTTCAAACGAGAAATATCAGCAAGCGAAACCATGTTTTTTATTTGTCTATTCCTTTCGTAACCACATACCCATCCTGATCTATATCTTAGAGCCTCTATCAAGTCTTGACTCTTTAGCCTCAGCCCTGTATCGCAACATCCAGCTCTAGATCTATTCTTCTCCTTGTCCTTCCTCATCCTCCCCAAACAACTCCTCCATATTCATAGCCTCAAGCGTATTCTCCAGTACTCTTCTACACCTCGCTCTATAATCCAACGCCAACTGCTGATTCCTTGTCAAATCACCTCCGCCCACAACCTCCACGTCCGTCTCAAGCAACCTCTCCAGCTCCTGCATGACCTTGTGCTGGATGATGGCCGCCGTTTGCTGAAGGAATATTCGTCCGTCTTCACTGACTTGACCACTGAAGAACTTCTCCTGCTGCTCTTGCTCGGAGCCCTCGCTGATAAGTGTCGAGCGTTGTTGGGGCGGTGCGAGCGTGCAGAAGATGTCCCAGACCATATCGTGCTGAACATGTTGAAAGGCTCCCAGAATAGGGGTACCGTGGTTGAGCTGGACGGTTTGTTTTGAGCGTGCGAGGAGGGAGCTTGCGTGACGGATGGGTTGTAGAGAGATGTAATACTCCTCTGTAGCCTCACCCTGAGCAGGCTGTCGTTTCCGCACATGAACGTAGTCATTATGTAGCTCTTCCGTCTCCGGTAACATGAAACCGTAACCAAGTAGTAGCTCAGCGTTTGTCTTCATACTGTAGTTGTTGAAGACCTGCTCCCCAGCCTGATACGCCTTTTCAACCTTGAGACTGCAGCCATTGGTCCTCTCATTGCGTTCCCATTCCACCTTGGTAGTCATATCGTGGTTTCCTACATCAAACAGCGGCATGAGAACAGAAAAGTCGTCTAGCTTAACACCTTCAGGAAGACGCTGCTGATCCTCTGGCCCGAGAACAAGACTGGGCCGAAAGCTTCTGCTTGAGAAGATACTGTATGCCCATTGGTACAAAGGCAAAGTGAACTGTTTGAGAAGCTCAGGCTCCCATGCTTCAGCAGTCAAAAGATCATGCGCCGTCTTGAACTCTCTCTTTACATTGGCTCTTATGCTCGTAACGCCAACCTCGATATTGGTTCCCTCAAATAACTCTGCATCCTCATCTGGCCAAAATGGCGGAAGAGACCATGAATCATGGTCATCAGGCTGCGGTAAAGCCTGTATATACGGCCCCCAGAAAGACTCTCCCTTCAAAAGGAAGTGCTTGATGAGAACAAAACGGCCAATGACATGCGGTGGTGTTTGCGCCAAGAACCCCGCGGGGAAAGGTTTAGGGTCATCACGACCAGGAAGAGTGTTGAGATATGAAAGCGTAAGAGACGAGGGGATGCTGACGATTGTGTCAAAGGGCGCTGTAGTGGCTTTTGCGCGGAATGATAAGCCTGTCTCGGGCAAGTGAGTGACTTCAACTGAAGGATTGATCGTTGCGCCGTGAGAATTTGCCCATTTTACTAGGGCTGACGCATGTTCTGAAGAAGTCATCTTGAGATTGTTTGAGTGTGAAAGAGTGAAGGTTGAAGAATTGTTGATGTTTGTGCCCCACCTTGAAAAGTGGAAGGGCAAGCCATCTTCAAGTGACGTATTGAAGATCATAAATGGTCATAATAATCAAGACATTTTGTTGAAACAAGTAAAATTATAAATCAGATGCTCTGTAAGTGAACTTCGGCTCGTTTGCAAAGTATCTATTTCTTCAAGTTTCCCAGCCCAATAGAGAATTGTATATAAATGAAGATAGAAAAGCCGGGACAGCCTTTTAATCATCCTCATGAGTCTAGACAAAGAAATGAGTTTCTCATACTTCTTCGCATTACATTATCGTGGACCGTAAAATACTATAGAGGATTATGCATTACAGTTTATGGTCTAACTAGCCATCTTCAGATCATCTCGAAAGAAGTTGGCGTTATGAATACATTGATTGAAGCGACCGTACCCTGAACATTCTCACAAAAGGTATAATGTCTAGCATTCATACCTATACGTACCTTCTCAGATAAGCCCTATGGTTCTCTTCCTGATCCTCCTGAAAACAGGAACAGCATCTCTCCCACTCCCAACCCACTTAACAACATCCTTACCAAGATCCAGCCCCTTAACCTCATTCATCTTGGCAATCTCATCAGCCGCAAACCCATAAAACAACTTCAGGTGATCATCTCCCTCCCCCAAATCATCAATAGTCAATCTAAGTTGCTCATTCATAAGAACGATACTAGTAATCTTCATATGTTTATGGTGCGTCTCACTAGAGAGCTTCTCGTTCAGAATTTTCTTCCAGAGTCTTACTGCTTGGCGTGCTTTCTCGTGGATTACCCACCAGGGTGAATGCACGTCTTCGAGGGGGTCATTGGGCCATTGGAGCCAGGGGACTTTGATGGCGATGATGGAGTGGTCATTGGAGTTGTCGAAGGAACGGTAGCAGCAGACGCCTTCGGGGTTGGGCCACTGGAAGCTTAGATAGGAGCTCATTTTGGAGTGTTTACTTAACTTGTGCGTATTAAAGTATTATCTTGTGGTGTTGAAACGTATTTGGAACTGTATTACTTGGTCTATGATTCCAAAGTCAAGGTAATGGGCAGTGGTTTTATATGTGCTATATGAGCTATCGTATCGCGTAGTCGTTTCTAGGCTTTCAATTCATGGTATTTGTTCTGAAGGCTGAAAGTGAGAAAGCAATGGCTGAACATGTTGTGTTTGTGTGTGTGTCCGCGGTCGCCTCTCATGTGCAAAGATTCGAGACGAACAAAGGAGTAGGCCAACTAGCAAACAATGCTGAATTCGAGAACAAGCCCGACGCAGAGTCTAGATAAGATTCAATGACTTAAGCCAATTAAAGGTGAACCAAAAACTATGAAGCCAGCCACAGGGGCCAAACGTACAACGTCACCAGTTGTCACTTCATCAAATAAGGACACAGAGGGGAACCAAGATCAACTCAGTCGATAAATATATATATGCACATTTTCTAGCCCATGTCTCACGTATAACTCCACGAAATCAAAGCCCTAGTGAAACTCGGCCTCAACTCTTCCATACCTCACTCCATCGACCTTCAACTCAAAACCCAAGCCCGCACTCTCAACCCTCATCTCCAGTGTAAAATCCAAATTATCGAACTCAACGCCCCTCGTCGTCGTCAATCTCGTAAACAAACTCCTAGGAACGGCGTTGAGATCTGTGGTAAGGGTACACACGTGGATCAGGTCGCGAGTGTATGCTGCGGGTGGTTCGTCCGCGTCGCATGCTATGAGATCGTCGGTGACGATGAGGGATTGGCCGGGACGGAAGTTACGTGTGTAGTGGAATGCAATGGGTGCAAGTGGTGATAGAGCTTCACCCTGTGATGTGTTAGAAGATGTGAATGAGTTCACTAAAGGGAGAGACCCACCTTGGCAATATGCCATTGCATCCGGTCAGAGACCATCCAGCGCTCCCATAGAGGAGACCAGTATCGCTCACTGACCGAATGCTTATCCTCATCATATACAGTAGCATACGATGTACCATAGTGCATTCTCGACTTACGAGAAATAACCATGTTGCCTTCCAATCCTCGTAAGACAGCACCTCGCACAACCGCTGTCCAAGCATACACAGGCTGCATTACTTCAATGGAACCCGTCTCCTGTGTAGAATTGGCATTGGCGTGTGTAGGCCTCTCGCTATACGGCGGTGGAGCAGCGCTTGTGAAGTGGTTCTTGAGTCGACGATATAGGTAATCGCTCTGACCAAAACCTCCCACTAGCACAATGCCGGAGACAATGCCTCCCTTGGAGCGAAGACCTGTGACTTGGCCCTGAACAAGGTCGCAGACCTCTTTGACTACAGGCTCGAAGATGTCCTTGACTTGTTCTGCAGTCATGACGAGGAAGCCCGAGTCCAGCCCAGCCTCTTCGTCATCAGGAAGACCAGGGAAGCTAGAAAGGTCAGCAATGTCAAGATAGAGACGTTTGATGTACGTACGGAACGTTGACTTCTTGGTGCTCATCCTCATTGAAGTTTCGCTTCACGAACTCCTCAAAGTATCGAAGACCCATTTGCCATGTCTTGCCCTTCTTAGCCTTCATCTCGTCAAACCGCGTCTGACCAAGACGACCTCTAACATGTTCTTCAAATCGGTAGTTCAAGAAAGCACTTCCACACAATCCTCCTGTCCCAACCGCAGACTCTTCTACACGGAGCGGCTTGAGGGAAATAATTTTATATGCGATTAAACTGCGGATTGTTAGCGTCTTGCTATAGAACGGGACTGGCTCAACTCACTCGACAGTACCACCTCCAGCATCACAAACAATAAAATTATCACCAACATTCAGATGATTCGGCTGAATTGCTTTAAGCGTATACACAGCCGCAGCCTCAGGCTCACTAATCATCTGAATCTCCGACCTCAACCCCATACCCGCTCTCTCCGCAGCCTGCAACGTAGTATTCTTTGCAGCATCACTCCAAACAGCCGGACAAGTGAGCACAAACTCAACCTTTGTCGACGCCATAAACGACTCGCCATACCTACGGGTGAGCGTATCCATAGTGTGCTTGTAAATCTGAGTTAAGTAGTCGCTTACTGCGTCGACGACATTCTTGTTGAAACGCTTGAGTTGTGCAGCTGTGTCCAGAGGGCTGACGTAGAAGGGAAGTTTTTGAGAACGGTCTAGGAAGAGCTTGATACAGCGCAGACGTGACTCCTCGGGCTTGAACTGGAAACCCCATTTTACTGTAGGTTCAGTGCCTTGTGGTGCATTGGGTGGAAAGTCGTAGGCAATCTCAGTTGGGACTTTATCCGATGTGATACCATTGCCGCCAGGCCATGTCTTGATGATTTCTATATCATCAGGGGTAGAAGTGTAAACAGCAGCAACACTACCAACATTAGCTTCATCTTCTCTCTAAGCTTGAGTACTCACCCTGAGAACGTGGTTCCAAAATCAACACCCACAATCAAGCGATCATTCAGAGGTGTCTGCTCCCTCACCAATTCCCTAACAGGACCATTGATAGCCTCCGTGGAGCTTGGCGGGGTATAACTGTTGAAGTAATTATTACGACTGTCCCGATTTCGCTGACTGCTTGTGCTAGGTCGCATTGGCAGATTGAGACTCATGATGGGCTGATTGATAGTGATGGTGATAAAGGTTCGAGTTTCTCAGTTAGATGCTCATCCATTAGTCCATGAATCCTTCAGCCAACACTGAATTTACCCCTCCCCTGCGTAAGATATCCTGTCCAGCCTTTGGTGGGATGATGGTGAGTGATCAAAAAGAAGCGATATTCAAGAAAATGAGATGATCCAGTGAGATCCAAGTTCGTGAGATGTTTAGATTATCCACGGGTAAGATCGTCGCAAAGTTCTCGGCTTTCTCAAAGTCCGTCCAACATGAATCAGTTGATTCGATGGTCGCTTCGTGTGAAACGTCTATCGTTACGGTTCTTCGACAAGAGGAACAAACACTTAAAAATTCGCCAATGACCCCAGGAGATAAAGAGAGTCCTTGACACGTTTTAAAGAGATACAGAGATCGTCTCCGTTCTGTAATAGTCACCGCTCGTCGTCAGTTTTTGGCTTGGCTTACCAGGACAGGTGAGTGCTGCCTAAGGTAAGCGTCGTGATATTCGTCTAGCCGGCCACGTGACCTTGATCGATCACTTTCATCCATTCTCACCAACAACTCAACTCAGCTCTCACTTGAGTTGCATTGTTTGTTTGTTGCATTGTTTCATCGTTTCACAAAGATCTCATTCAGATTCATCTTACAAATCTCAATGTCATTGATCACATTGTGGTTCGCAACAATGACACCCTAACGGTCACTCGTGCGAACTAAAGTAATATTATAAAGTCTAAGAGATTTGCTTATTCCCATCCCAGCTTAATATTGTGCAAATAATACCATGAATGTCACTACTCAAGCCACCTCATCTCCTGTCTCTCAATCTCTAATTTGGCTGCCTCCCCTCTTTCTACAAATGTTGCCTCATCATTCTGACTTGATCCCCCACTACTAAAGGGAGGCAGAAACCTTCTTATCGATTTAATGAGACCGCCAACATTCTCGATGAAGCCCACGATGCTTAGTTCACATAGGCCATTGGGCAGTCGAAGCAGATATCGCATAGAGCACATGAAACAGTAATTGTTTTGATATTTTGTTGATTAACCCCATGGTCCCTCCTCATACCAAGGCATCCCTTCTCCTGTTACCGGGGCGTGTAAAATTATATATACTTTGATCATAAAATTGCAAACTGCTTTGTCTGGCATCCTGGCCGGCGAAAAACTCCATCTATGGTTTGACAGTCTCCCAATGCATTGACAAAAATGATGGAGAATAATGAAATGCTCGCTGACATTTTTTACATGCTTCAATAAGCAAACGATAGCTCTGGCCGTCACTCTGTCCGTCTCCTTAGGGAGCGTCCTGTTTGACCCTTTTTTGTCCATTCAAGCAAAGATAACCCAAGGATATGACAAAGAAAATGGCCGGTCATATTCAGCCCAAGCACCTCAGACTCCCTTCCACCCTTCTTATATAGTAGTGAGACAAAGGAAAGAAATTGATTGAGTGGTATGTGTATGGTATTGCTTCAAGCAGATTGCTGCGGCTGCGCTCGCCTGTGGTCTATAGGGGGTATTTGATACTCAAGGTATAAAAACGAAGAAGAGCAAACGGTTCAAAAAGTGAGAGATGGCGAAGAGGTAATAGTAATAATAATGTGCAGAAGGAGGCATAAGATTGCGGCCGGGTATTTGGTGTAAAGTTGAGTGCTGAATCGAAGGGAGGAATAAAGTATGTATAGTCAAGCCAGTATGCCCAAAAATCAAACGGATCGCCCACGTTACAACAATGATAAAAAGATCAGAAAAGGGTTGCATATCTCAACCCAAACACCCAAACACCATGACCATGCGAGTCGATATCAATAACTTTTTCCACGCCACTGGATGTAATCGTAACACTATGTCAAGATAAGAAACTTAGAAGCGACTGCCAGCAGCCCAGATGCTAGCGGCTGCCGATGCTGCCCATTCGCTCTCTTCATATGGCGGCGTGGGCCACTTGTACTGGTTATCAGTCTTCTTGTTGAGATCCAGTGGCTTGGGAGTAACAGCCTCGTGACCATCAGCAAACAGGACCTGGTTACCGTTGGCTGAGGGCGAGGGTGTAGGGTATGGGTTCATCAACCCAATGTTGCTAGCCGATTGACGCAGAGGCTTATTCTGGTTCTGCTCCATGCGTTTGATGGCCCTTTGAGTTGAAGTCAAAGCCTCATCCAGAAGCTCGTCTTCCTCATCAGGAGCCTCATATTGGTGCACGCCATGTGTCGCTTGGGCTCTCCTTGTTCGACTGGAGACGGGCCCACCGCGAGCAGCACCGATCAAGTTATCTACTGACCGGGCTTGGTGTTGAGGAAGCGAGTGATGTCGCTTGAGGGTGCTGGTAGGCGAGATCTGGTGACTGGGCGGAACGGGAGGTCGCGAATCGAGGTTGTTCTGAACATCTCGGAGGGCCTTGTCCAGGGATTCGTAGACCTCGGATTTAGGAATGGGAGCCTGTTGTTGCGATTGGTCAATAACCATGGACGACCGGTTGCTAGCCCAAGGGCCACATCCAACCTGGGCCTCCAGGTCGTCGTCATAGGCGGGTGAGACGGGGGTCTGATGTCGTCCCGAGAACCGCCGCGCACGCTTTCGGAGATGTGAAAAGAAGCTCTCCTTCTGTCCACTCGGAGGGGAGGCGAGGCCAGAATTCCCATTGAGTGCCCTTTCTGCCTGTTGCCGATGCATTTCTGTGTAGTTGTTTGTGCTTGAAGCGACAGAGAGCTGTCGGCCAAGTTTCTTGGTCTTCCCCTGGCCATGTCCATTAGCGTAAGAGTCGTCGTATGCGTTGTTGGCGCGGGCATTTACAGCATCAGGGATCGGCGAGATCGGTCGCGCAGTGGGAAGAATAGGCATGGGCGCTACGTTCGATGGGCCATTCGTCCATGTGGTCCTCTTTCCGGCAGCCGGGCGAACCTTTCCAGTGGATGCCTCAACAGCCGATGAAGCATGTACAGGTGCGGGTCGAGGGGCAGTGGAATCCTTTGTCTGGGCCTGCATGGTAGCCAGGTCGGTGCTCTCAGAACGCCCGATTAGAGACTTGCGGAACCAAGATTGCTTCACAGAGGTGGGTGTAGTAGTAGCAGCCTCCTTGCTGCTTCGGCTGAGGTCAGACTGCTTGCGTCCAAGAATTCGAGAGGCAGAAGACTTGGGTCGCATGGGATCAACGGCATCGGCAAAATACTCGTGAGCAAGAGCCTGTGATGATGTTGGGCGGTTCTTGGGATCCCACATTAAGCACCAAGTAACGAACTGGCTCAGGGCGGTGGGCCATTGTGGTGTTTGCAGAATGGTGTCCATGGCATGAGGAGCCATCTTGGGAAATGAGAAGCCAAGCTTGCCAGCGAGTCTGGTTCCCTCACGCCAATCTCCTCCACCAACGCGGTTACCGGACTTGTTGTACCAATTACCAGGGCTGCCCATAATTTCACAAACTCGCCAAACTTGATCAACCTCGTTTCCACCAGGAAACAAGGGCTTCAGTGTAGCGATCTCAACAGCCATGGCACCAACAGCCCAAATATCGACAGGTGCGGAGTATTCTCCAGCTCGTAGAAGAACTTCGGGAGCTCGATACCATCTTGTTGATACGTAGGTAGTGTAGGGAAGCTTTGAGTGTGTCTCTCGGGCAAGGCCGAAATCGGCGATCTTGACGGTGTATGTGGGTGGTGTTGAAGGAGGAGTAACGAGAGCTGAGTATCGGCGGAAGGTGTTGCCAGATTCATTGTGGCCGGAAGTAGTGACGAGAATGTTTTCGGGCTTGATGTCGCGGTGGAAAAAGTGGTGAGAGTGAATGTGTTCGAGACCTTGCATGATCTGGAAAAGAATGCTCTTGACGCTTGCGTTATCGAGACACTTGTGGTCGCGAGCCTTCATCAGTTGGTAGAGGTTGCCCTCCATGTACTCCATGGCGATATGCAGCTTCTTGGTGTAGGGGTCCAAGAAGATGTCGAGAGCGGGAACAAGGTGAGGATGTTGAGGGAGGGTGCGAAGGAAGACGACCTCGCGGAGTTCCAAACATGGTGCTAGCGACTCGAAGCTCTTCTTCATTGTCTTGATAGCGACCTGCAGAAATGGTTACGGGAGCTGTCACACAAGAGGATGCACATCGCATTGACTTACCACTGTACCTCGGCGAGCAACATTGGCACCGGCCGTCCGAACTCTACCCAGAACGACACTGCCAAAGCTTCCATCGCCAATCTCCTTCAATACTTCAAATCGATCCTCGAGGGCAAGCTGTTGACCAGATACACCCCGATGGGTCAAATCGTTTTGAACAGTCATCATGTCGGTTGTGATCGAGGGACTCTATTTCGGGTGCAGTGTGACACGCGAATGAGTTGGGGTCCTGGGGGTACGATGTTATTCGGAGGGTCCCCGAATTGGACGACAGCGAAGTGAATATACCTAATCGGATCCAAAAACAAGAAGCTCTCTCAAAGAGCTAGAAATCGTTTTACCGGAGCATTCAGATCGGACAAGTTGATTTTGGAAAACGACGGCGAATGAGCGTGGGACCTGAAAGTGGATGTGTGTGGCAGCGAGCGTGTGCAATTGTATAGCAATATAGCAATGTTGGTCCCTGAAGCAATTTACTCGCGGTAGTAGTAGCACTGTTAATCGGATTGAGGGGATGTGGCGGCGGTAAAGGTAACGAAGTTGATGATTGATGAGTGAATGGAACTGAACAATGGGAGGTCGAGAAAGAGGGAACGGGACGTAAGTGTTTAGAATTAATCGAGACGACGATGGATGAGAATAAACGTCAATCAAGGAGATGAGATCTCGCCAGAGGGTCCAGGTTCCAGAAGAGCAAAAGGAGTGACTTGAAGTGAGGGTGATTGCAGAAGTGGATAAGGTCGATATTAACGAAAAGGAGAGCGAAAGAAAGCTCTTGTCAAGGGGCCAGGGGGGGAGTGGCTTGAATTGAATTGAACTGAACCTGCCGATCGGGGCAGGATCCTCAGGCCACTAGCGAATACGTTAAGGCAAGGTAACTCAGTTGCTCTGCTCCCCAAAAGAGAGAGGGCCCCAGCGAAGAGTTTCCCGCTCTATCTCTAGTGTGATTAATGCGAAGGATGCTTGAATAATGACCGGGGGGTTATTGGTTCAGCGATTGTTGCGCGATGTCAATAGATGTTGTTTATTGTCATTGTCATTATTGAATAAGTCAGAAGAGGGGAAGAAGAAGAAAAGAGAGAGAAATGCAGGTGAGCTGAACATGAGGTGAGCCCTGACGTGGTAGTCTAAAAGTCCAGGGAGACAAGATAGAGCGAACAACCAACCTATACTGAAGCAAGCCAAGTTCCCCCCAGAAAAGTCCAAAAGGAACCAAAAGCCAGAGTCAGTAGTACCAGAGGCGTCGACAGGTGAGACGAGAAGGGGGCGTGAAAAAGACCAAAAGATGTGGGCGTGTCGTGATATCCGTCAACAGCCAAAGTGAGTGGAGTGCAGGGATGCCGTGGAAAAAGAAGCAATGGAGACTTTGCTCTGTCCAGGGTTCACCAACGGGAAAGGAGGTCAAGTCCAAGTACTTGCGAGCTGCAGGCGGGACCTTGCAGGAACTTTGTGTGCTGTAGAAAGGTGGCTGGGTAAAAAGGTATCCATGTCACCAACCAGCTGTAGATTTTTGGCCAACGTATGTCACTGTACGCTACAGCTTCTGTACTCTCCACTCTAAAATGCGCCCCCCTCCCTGTCGAAGAAATGGAAAACCCAGCTCAACAGCGACACTTTCAGTTCAGTTCAGGCTTTATTCGCCAAGATCCGGGTACGTACCCGTGCTCCGGTCAGGGCACTTACGCACCCCAGGCAGCCCTGAAAGAGACCTGAGGGCAAAGCACTGTGAGAGCCCGCACTGAGAGGAGAAAAGGCCCATGGCAGCGGGAGCAGACTGGGCTGGCGGGGAGCAGACGGGAGCCCTTCAGAAGCTCTGGAGAGCGACCTGCTAACGAAGCCTTATGAACCTAGTTGGAGTCACGGCGCCCTACGGTACTGGTACATCATTTCGTGCTGAGCTCAAGCCGCAAGTCAGAGTACAGATTCACAGCCATCCCATGCACAAATAAGCATAAGCATGCTGTTCAACCTTGGTATTCTGCAAAAGATGGGCAAAGGGAGGAAGAACCCCATCAGAGAGATTATCAGATCGGAGACAGCGACACGCGAAATTCCCAATCTCAGGATAAGATGTCAAACTGTCGTAGACAAGCGAAGAATGAAACTAGGATTCAAGAGCAACCGCACAATATCCAATGGGTGTGCAAGGTTCTGAGAAATGGATCAGTTGAAGACTTCCTAGGGAGGGTCAGAAGAGTCAGAAGAGCACACCAAAGAACCTTAGGGTGTCTTTTTCATGGTGTCGTGTGGCCCTCTCAACTCTGGCTGCCCACTGATATGGGCCAGAATGCCCAACGTGAAAAGTGGCAGACGGCGAATGATATGACACTACAAAGATCACGGGTGGTTTACTCCAGTTGGCTCTTGTTCTTGGAAATAAGGGTCAGTCTACCGCGGTCCCAGATAAATGGAAACGACTCTCATAACCTCGCTAGCACTGAAGAAAATGGATGACAGAACAATTGGGGACCAACGAAACCTAGGGCCACCGGGGGAAGCTCCCCTGGCCCCCCTAGAAGCTTTCTAGGATTGGATTTTGGACCAGCCATGACGGCGTCGCAGACATCGACCATTTATTTGCCGACCTTGACTGTGACTTTTTGTGCCTGAGGTGCGATCATAATCAGAGTCACAATCACGGGGATCAAAGAGATGAGCATCCTAGTGTCCAAACCCAACCTCAATCTCGTGGTGCGGCGGGACCGTTCAATGTTTTCCCGTGTTTTATTTCTTTTTTGGGGCATGGCTCTCCGACCTGCAAATTGTCGCAATCTGTGACGGTACCCCCAAATAAGACGTTACCAACCGCGGCAGCAGATCACGATTGATAGGCCCCGGGAGATGAGCAATCCAGCCTGTCTTGTCTCCCAGGACCACCACTCTCATGCCTCAAACAAAGATTAACGGCGCGGGTGAATAATTTATTGGTATCACAATGCTGTGTTTCCCCGCAGGCAGTAATTTGGCATTCAATGAGCCAAGCAAAATGGTAAAATTGGCACACGGTTTGAGCGCCAGACGCGTGGGTTTTTGGGCAGACGCGTTTTCTTACTCGCTACACGCGCTCGCTCTGCCGCCTCAGCCTCGGCCGATTCTCGTGGCCTCGCGCCACAGCACCCTGGACTGCGTATTGAAGATTGGCCGCTGTACAACTGCAACTTATCTATCAATAGTTCAGATGAATGGCGCAGTCAAGCAGGTCTTTCCTGCAAGAACCTTCAACTCGTATCGAGCATCCAGGTTCATACCTAATCTTTAACTACTCAAGTGGCGCTCTTGTCAAATTCCATTCGCAAGAGCCTACAGAAGGCCCTTTCGCGTCCTGGCACTGTCTCGGGGTCGCATGAACTGGCTTCTCGGCTTTGCCCCTCGTTCATCCCCAAACCTTAGGTTCCTACTCCAGGGCCCTCGTGGGCTAATTGGTACGTGCGGGAGGCCGTCGTCCAACAGCCGGGGGCATTAATCAAACAGCCAGCCTAGCCTTGGGCGCTTTTCCTTCCGCTGGGACGTGCCCTGGGATTAATGCTCACAGGGGCCTGGAGGGCAAAAAGAAAAGGGGGAGGGGATAGGAGAGGGGAATATCGACGAGGGGTATCGTGGCCGTTGAAGTGACGAAACACGCTGGAGAATCACTTTAACACGCTTGGGAATCACAAAGGGCTTTGCTGAAGCTGTGACAAGAGGGCAAGCAATGCAGCTTCACGATATTGATGTGATGGAAACAAGGAACAGCTTTTTCCGAAACGTGCGGATCCTTGTCACACACGTGTACAAATCCGTTGGTAGTGCGAATTATGCAACGCCATTCAGGGCATAACTGGGCATAAGACGCCACCCGGGTTTTTAGCCGTTTGAGCTGAAGGTTCTGTTCTGTCCCATCTTTCGGCCTTTCATAGTCGATCATCTCAATTTGTGAGCCCTAAAGTGGTTCCTGGAAACTCCAGCCTTTGTTTGTGCAGTATGATCGATACACATGGTGTCATCGTGCCTGATCAACGTGTAAGCAGGTTTGTTCAGTGGTCGTAACGTCATCTAGATACAAATATCACATATCAGAGGATGTCACTAACATCAGGGTCGTCCCGATCTATTGTCTGGCTGGCATAAGCCAGAGAGTGTTCAGTATGCCGAGAAATGTTCGATCAAGGGTCCAAGAAAACTTGAGAATTCCATTATCCATGCGAGATTGATCCTTTCTCAAGCAAGATTGGGTGCTTCTTTTCTCAGTATCATTCTGATCCATCCCATCCCACCGGTCCTCGAGCTAACGTCCGGGGTGTGGGGCCGTCTGCCAGGGGCCAGTCGCCGGACCGTAACTCGACAGGGCCCGGCCAATTTCACACTGGCCGTTAATTACCAAACATCCGCCTGCCAGGTACAGTGTAGCCCGTACGGGTTCTTTTTCATGCCTAATTGTGGGTGACTGGCCTTCCATTCGGTACTTTCCAGAAAGCTGCTGCAGTTACCAATCGTCCAGGTACCACTTCACTCCATCCCCATTGTTTGAAACCCCTGGGCTACACCAAGACTCGCACTCGTGAAATCCAGTCTTCTGTGTCCATATCCACGATTGCACCGTGCATTGCTAATTCCTACTCGGGGCACGTTTCCCGATCCTGGACTCGTCTGTCTGTCACGATGCTGCAGGATCGACCCAATGCAAAGGACACACGCCCGGGGAACGGAGATTGCCTGCAACAAATTTATAGGCGAGCTTGTCACGATGATACCGTACGGTAGCATTTCCGGGTTCACCGGTGTTGTGGAATAATCTAGCAGACCTTCTCGAAGGAAAGGTTATCCTGGCCCAACAGACTGGACGACCTAGGCGTCGATCCATCTCGCAGCGCAGTGCAGCGGTCGTGAATGATTGTCGTACCCATTGATGTTCCCCCTCCATTTCCCCTCTCGTTGCTTTTTGATTATCTCACGCAGTGAGCGGTATATTGGATGCCTCCCTCGGTGTTGGTCTCGTTATCAATACCGCGGCTTAAAACGCGGCAAGACTTCAGAGCCGTTGGACACGCACGATTGTGCACCAGCCTTGAATCATGGAGCCGGTCATAATGGCCAAGTACATAGATAACGATAGTTATGAAGGTTAGGCCTTAATTGTCTCGAGGAGAGCAGGCGGGGTGAACTCTGATGCGATTGTCCCTGCATTCTCAACCCAGTCGATCACTCAATCAATCAAAGCTCTAGCTGGCGTATCGCTTCGTAACCGGCTATGCGCTGCCACGACCCAAGGCTATGTGTGCCCAGGAGTTCCCTGCGCGACACGTTTGTCACTTGAGCGACCGAATGCACAGATGATAGATGATGCAAGTAAGCCAGTGCCTAAGATCTCTGGCGGGCCCGTTCACTCAGTTCCCAGCCCGACCTTTTGAAGGGACCTCCGATGGTGGCTGAGGTTGAAGGGATCATGATTTCTATTTCAGAGAAGACCCTGTGAACGGCCTGCCGTGGGATATGGCCTGCATGATGGCCCTTGACGCCCAAACGCAGCACGCACAGATGGAGGCTGGTGAGCAATGGCTTTTCTGAAACGAAGACTTGCTTTTGGGTCTGGTTTATAACCGGTACTAAGCTTTCAACTTGCTATGAGGTACGGAGTAGAACTGTGCCTGAACGTGATGTGCCGTGCCGTGTCTGAAAGAGTGTGCCTCGATCCTATCGATTTAGCTCCAACATTGTCGTCATTACACCGTTTCTTCTCTAACATCCTGCCATTAAGTTGAAAGAGTGTGTCTGTACCTGTTTGAGTAGCTCGGCTCATGTCATCACCGTCATCAGCCATGAAACCTTTGCTGCCATCTCTTCTCTGCAGTGCTGACTCTCTGCCCTGTCTGTTTAACAAATCAATTGGTTGAAGATCGCGATCAAGCCTGCGCCACAAGAGCAATGCCTGCACCATTATTCGTATTCCCAGCCCTCGTCTATTCTGGTCTCAATGCCTCACTTTCGCTTTTCCTGCCACCTCTTTCGCTTCTAAAGGCCTAGCCAGCCTTGAGACCAACTGACCTAAGGATTTTCATCAATTGACATTTGTGGAGTGCAGGCGCAAAAGGGTTCTTCCCGATGGGACGCCCCGTGTTGCTCCACTGAAGCCTCGAGCCCGTTGGTCTTCTCTAGCGTCTGCACCATCAACAGTAAAGTGATCTCAGAAGGTCCGAGAATCTAGGAACGATGCATGAGTAATCAACTTTTGGTGATCGGCATCGTCTGAGAAAACTCGTCAGTTGTCAAAAAAGAAAATTCTTAACAACGGTTCCGGCATTGGAAAGGGGCTTTTGATCCTGAGGTTGAGACTCAAAGCTCGGCTACAGTGCAGTTATGGACCCATGCTCCGTCACCGCATTGTCGGGTTCACTTTTGACGTGTTCCGCTTGTCCTGAGAGACCATGACCGACTGAGCCTTGCGTTGCTCTCGATGATCCGCCAACCGGGACCTGAGCTGGCAATTCCGTATTGGCCGGGTTTAATGCAAGCTTTTCCTTTGCGTGGAATTGGACGAATGTGGCGATGTCTGTTCATCCTGAGAGCTATGGTAGTCGATCTTAGCCCGCTTCGGTCGACTGTCACAGCGGCATCACTCATGGTGAAGTCATTGATCAGTGCTGTTACTGACACACGACCATTGGACACGAAGCGCGTTGTCTTGTCGATCTATTTTGTTTTCTTCATACTGTATCCAGGACCCAGTGATGCTCATCGCAACCGATGCTCGCTCGGTGGATCGACAACAGCTTATCGTGGAGCACGGATTCAGGGACCAGCTGTTTCCAACGGGCGGGTTATCTCCAGAGCGCCGGTCTCTCTCAGAGGTCTTGCTACCAGTCTTGTTTCAATGAAGAGCGCCAACATCTTGTTTTCTCATGGCTGAGAGCTTGTCACGCCGTTTTGGACATCTAACTTCAGCCCAGTGCTGAGGCTTGCACAAGCGTGAGTCAAAAGGTTGCCTACCCCAGATCCTTTGGCCAAGATGAGTATCGTCCACATGGGATCGACCTGATCTGGAAGACCTCCAACCTGTATCGGTAAGGGCGTCTTTTTGCAGTCTAGGCCTGACCTGGTCGTTTCTCTAGAGCAAGTCTATCGATGGTGGATTTGAGAAGATGGATGAAGCCTGCTACCGTAGATGGGTCGTTCGCCAAGCGTAACCTGACGATGGATACCAGTTTCTACCGTAGACACACCGTTAGCAACGAATAGTCCATGGGTATCTCAGTAGCTTGACACGTCTGTTGAAATCACTGCAGCAACATGGCATGACCCCCAGCATGTTGAAAAACTGATGCTTGCTTCTCGGCTGGGGCGGTCACTTGCATGTTCCCGTCCAGCCACGCCATGAAGGCCAATAGCTTCTCCGAGGCGCAGGGTAGATGCAGAATTATCTTGCCAGAAACTGTTAGATACTGCAGTCCTTTTGCAGTTTTCTGGATGTCTGCAGTAAGCATGATTACGCTCGGATGCCGAGATGGTTATGCCAATCATACAGCGCGGTACACTTGTTGATCTGAGCATCTCTAGCCATCGAAGACGTACACAGTCCGCAGACAACGCACAGCCTTATCGTGATCAGAGTAACTGTAAATCGGCAAGCTCGTGGGCATGCCAGCTGATCGTCTGGGGTTTGGGCAGCGAGCTAACTCAACGCTATGTACGGTTCCGCTTGAGCGGTGAAGGCTTCATTCGATTTTCTGTAGGGTAGATGGCGGTGAAAATGTCGGAAGCGACTGGGCATCATGTCAGCCCTGTATTTGTCTCTGAAATAGGAAGCTTGGATAAAGAATTTGACATGCATGGCTGTTTCGCTTCTGGGGACAGTTTGATAGATGTCGATGAGATGGAGAGAGGGTGTAGGGTGTAATTAGGATGATGATTCCCATGTGGCAGATGAACATTGCATGTGGGCCGGTGTTGAGCCTCATCCATCTTCAACTTCCTCAATCATCACCAGCTTACATCCAATATAAGCTGATACATTTCTTGTCATAATGATATGTGAAACTTACGTACTCAACCTGTATTTAGTGTGACTTTAATTGCAATGCAGACATGTATGTTCTCAGTATTGATGTATCAGTGCATGGACTGTAAAGGGGGTTGATGGCTACGGGATGCTGCATATAAACACCAACAAGGCAATTGTAAGGCACTGCCAGTTTCTACGTGGCCCTCACCAATGAAGTGTCAATTCAATCTGAGTTGTGAGCATTGGTGATTTTAAATCACCTGGTTCCATGTGATATGGGCTCCAACCTCTTGGCAAACCGATAATGATATATACAGGATGGGTTGTTTGATCTGATGTTGCTGAACCAGCTGCAGCAACTCACTTGCTCAAACATACAGAGCAATATTCAGAAACAGGATTGTTTCTTCTCACCCCCCCTTTCAACCATACAAGACGTTATCTAGATAGCTTTTCAACTTTAAATAGCAGTAATTTAAACAGTTAGACCCCTATAACAGGCCGACATAATAGTGGTCCAAAATCAGAAAAATGTTTGTCTGCTCAGAAAAAGGAAGTGTATACTTGATAAGAATTGCCCTGCCAAAATGTGAACTGGTGAGGCTTGAAAGTGCGTGCTTGGGGTTGTAGTTATGAACCTGAGGCAAGAAGAGCAAACAGGCACTCCCCAAACACTGCCACTGCCACTACCCGCCTGCAAGCTATTGTTCATTATTGATAACTGAGGGAAGTGATTCACTGCCACTGAAGCCGCTACGAGAGAGTGCCAATAAATATCCCCTAAACGCACGAGCCTCGCACCTTCCTTGCTTCTCCTCAACACTCAACCCTCAACATCATCGGATTTCTTCCCTTGATCCGATATCAGCCTTACAAAGGGATCCCCTATTCTACTATCTTATTTATTTCTAATATCAGCAACTGGGGCTGCTGAATTTGCCGAGTGTCAGTTTTGTTATTTGCTGACCTGAAACAGTCGGCAGGAGCGCACACAGCCCAAGCATCCCTCTAACACTCTTCTATCATTTGCCCACTCGCAGCTGAAATCATCCGTAAACACAGCAAGCATATCATCTGCACCAGAATCCCAAGTTGAATATTCTCTCTATTGCCTCCTTTCAAAAATCGACATGCCCAACAAGAACAAAGGGGGCTACAAGCCGTGAGTTTGCCCATCAACATCAGAGTTAAACATAGCTAACGGAACTGATATATAGTCAAGCCTACGCGGCTGCGACGACTCAGTAACATCGCCCCTTATCCTGTATGTATTCGCGCTCGACTTGCTAATCTTGTCAGGTTCCGTTGCGCTTCAGGTGAAGAGTGGAAGCCCTTGGACATGTTCTCCAAAGCTCAACAGAGGAACACCCGCTACTTGATAGATGCCGGTAGAAAGGTTGATCCTGCAAACACTGGAATGATCTGCAAGGAACATAACCAAGCTCCCGCTTTGGAGCATTGGTGCATCGGCTGCCTCCGGACACTACCATATGATGCCTTCTCCCTGAACCAGCGCAGACTTGAGGATTGGGTAAGGATTTTTCAGAGCTATGGAGTCAATATTTAACTAATGTGAAATAGCGCTGTACTCAATGTGTTGGGTGGGATACAGTCGCAGAGCCATCAGTGGTCCCGATCCCCAAAGCCACGGGTCATGTCTCCGTAGAAGAAGAAGAGATGATGAGCCAAGGTTACCATGCGCCTATCGAGGTTGCCCAATTCTTTGATGATGACGATCTCCCCGGAGTAAGCAATAGACATAAGGAGATCGAATAGAAATCACTAACATGAGACAGGCACCGATTACTTCACCCGAGTCACTTGGCTTGGACCCAACCAACGAGGACGACAACAAAGTCTTCAACGAAGTCGTCAGAGGCTCATCTCAGACAGTTCATACATCTGCAACTCGGACTTTTGCGTCGACAACATCCAGTGTTGCCGGCGATAACATGTCAACGACTTCCAGCCGCGCTACACTTCCCCCTCATCTCCAGAAAATGCTGCCGGAGCGTCTCGCAAGCTTGTCTATTGACGAAGACTCTGTATCCTCGAGCTCAAAGGTCGTTCTTCCCCAAGTCTCTCAAAAGGCAAAGGAGTTCCCTCCCCACCTTCGCGGCCTGAAAATAACCCAGCGAGCTGCCACCTCAAGCACCACTGGTAGTGTTTCGACTGCAACAACTGTCCGCAAGGACCAGGAGGAGGCCGCCGCCGCTCGCAAGATCACTTTCAATGCGTGGGACTCCATGGGTCAGAGACACACTGCCTCCAAGAACCCCACGGTCATGTCCAGCTCAGCATCTGAAGTATCAACTACCGAAGAAAGCTACCAGGGTGCTAAGATCGCGGACGGCTGGGATGACATCCCTCCTATGAAGGAGGTCCCAACCCGAAGTGGAAGTCAGTGGCCCAAGCACAGTGAAGTAAGTATACTGAATCAATAAGGCTTTGATCTCAGACTGACTCTTGATACAGGGTCGTATCTCACAGGCCGACCTCAGAAAGCAGCAACAGGCCAACTTCCACACCAACAACAAGTGGAAGAAGACAAACGATGTAGGTGCACTCGTGGCAAGCAATGTCTTATTATCTGACTCTCTCCTTAGCGCTACTTCACTCAACCTAACATCATGGACCAAGCGGAGGACTCGCCCGGACCTCAGCACTCCGGCCGCTCCATCCAGAGTCGCAACAACTTCAACATGTTTGACGCCTTGAGCAACTAGAAGGCCGTCATGCAGCACAACCCAAATTTGTTTCTTTGACTGAGACTCCCGACTAGTCTCTTTAGTCTCTTACTTTTTTGGTCTTGTTTTTGCGATCGCCACGGGATAGGGGAAACTGGTTGCTTTATTCGCCCTCATAACAGCTCAGATTGAGCGATTCTATTGAATGAGAGGCATGATGGAAATGGAAGCGGATGAAAATGATTGAGGCTAGCAACCCCCCACCCCAGAACAGGTAGAGCAGTTTAGCTTAATTGACTTGCGTTGTGCTTTACCTATGTTGAGCCAAATGTGTTATCACATCAAAAAGCTGAGGAAACCTTTTCGTCGTGGATACTCAGAGGATATCCATCCCGACCACACTTATAGGAGTCGCTGCGAAAATCAAGTAACCAGAAAAACAAAGTGCAAATGATATTTCCTACCCATGACCAAGACTCCCGTAGAAGTATTTTTGTTCCATATACATGTTTGCATGTTCTGTCAACAAGACAGCCTCCCATAATACCGATCGTCGCCATCCCCTTCTCCACGTTCATACCCAATGCATCATACAATGTGCCCTCATCGCTGTATAAAGCGATGTTCCTATTCCTCCCATCTGCAATCGGGAGGGATGTTTACCTAAATATAATAATGACCAAATCGTAGCTCGAATGGTGTTTATTGTCCAAACATGCGTGCAACGGCACGCTTTGTGAGACTGTAGAGATTCCCAACATTGGTTTTTAGACTAGCCTCCATGGAGAGCGGTCCCTCGGGTTGTGTGAACCACATAGTGCGGTGTTCTGGTGTAGTGGGATCTTCGTCCCTCGAATCGAGTAATCTCTTTCCTCCTCTTTCGAATATCCAAGTGAGCTGTGCGTTCCTATTGGCATGGTATAGCTGCGGGCAAATCGTGGGCGGCCTCGTAATCGTCGTCGTCTGATCCTTCTTGTTGCTCTTTCTCTTGTTGTTTCTTGTTATAATTGCTGATATAGTAGTATCACGATAAATTTTCGTCTGTGTTTTGCTCCGGCGCACGGATCTCCCGCGGGCGACGATAATTCCCTTTTTGTAAGAAAAAAACCCATTAGACTTCCTGTGGACTGGTATAGTTGCTTCGTGGTGGCGCGTTGACCACCGCCTCGGCGTCGCCCACCTGTTTCCGTTCCGATATCTCGCGGCTTCGGCCCTGTAGTCGTTTGCGAAGAACCCAAGGGGGAACCTGTAGGTTCTGTGCGCCGGCGCTATGTAATTGCTATTGCAGAGGTTCGGAGGACGATGAAAGACGGTTCAGGTGGAGGTAGACATCGGTGCCGTATCTGTGAAAGAAATGTTAGTGACGGATTTGTTCACAATCAGAATAGGTGTGGTTGATCAGGCGGGTTAAAAGTATGTTTGTTTAACACTTACCCTTCCATACTGATGAGTTTCAAGTCACCGCCGAAGTAGCGCGCGTATAAACGTGAGATGGGTAAACCGTATCCAAAACCAGCCATCGGGGCCTTGAAGTCGCTCTTATCGAAATCGGGATCTAAGCTTGGTGTGCGGTCGACAGTGGTGTACATGTAAGTCCAAACGAGAGGGATAGCGCTTCGAGGGATACCACCACCTTCATCAGAGATCTTGATGGTGATATCTTCCTTGCCTTCGGCAACAATAACCTTTGTAACGGGGAAAGCTTGCTTCTCCATACCATGGGTTTCGACAACGGCGCGCAGAGAGTTCTTAAGGGTCTCGAAGAGCATGTGCGACAGATGACCGGGAACGTACATAAAGTTCAGGTTGGGATTACAGACGAGTTGGACCTTGGGAGCTTCGAAAAGACCATAGTGATCCTCACAGACAAACCGGGCGTTCTCAATGGCTTCCTGGGCGAGATCTTGGACATTGGTCTTGGTACAAATAATACCGACATAAGTGGGGTCGCGATGGTGGCTTTGGTCTGTCAACGCGATGTGTTGGCCGATAAGCATGCGGATACCGATACGGGACATGTAGAAGCGGTCGAGGAAGGACTGGATGGTGCTGTCAATTTGCATGCGCTGGCGACGGCGCTTGTATTCGAGGATGCCTTGAGCCATTGTGGTAACGACGCCATCATGACGGCGCTTGATGTGGTGCAGAGTCTGAGCGAAACGTTGGTTGTACAGGTGAAGATCGGCGGGCCAGTCGCTTGTGTCGTCAACAATAGCAAAGTACCGGCGCGCAGAGGCCTTGGCTTTGCCATTGTCATTCTGGAGACCGCCCCAACCGTCGGCTTCGCCCTCGTCGATAGAGGGATTGGGGGTTGCGGCAGGAAGACGGAAAGCATTGCGACCGATAGCTTTGCTGGGTTTCATGAGGCGGCTTCGTATATCCGAGGGTAACTCTGGCCGAGGTAGCTGTGTGATTTCCTACCGATCGAGTTAATACTGTGGTTTTCGGCAATTGGCTTTGATAATGCATACCTCGAACGACTGAGCGTACCAGTCTTTGACTTTAATGACGGAGGGCATCTCATTAAGGCCATCTGGAAGCTCGTCAAGCTCTTGCACGCGATGAGCTAGACGGATGGGTAGCTCCTCGGCTAAGAATTGAGAAGCTCGGAATAGGGTTCCTTTCGCAACCCAAAGTCAGTAACTGCCCTCAATGGACATGTAAACAAGCAGAGACATACCGACTGAGGGTTTCTCGCCAAACTGGACCATCTGGCGCAAGCTGACACCAGTGGCTGGAAACCGAGCATAGTGACGGATAGTATCCATCAGACGCTCTGAAGCTTTCCACGACATGATGGGCAACCGTGGGTCGAATCAGAGAGCAAAAAAGGGTGGGAGAATAGAGCGTGACGATGCTGTAGAGAGAGAAAGAATCGGACTCGGAGGCAGGCTCGGACGGACGGAGGGAGAGACCGGGATCCCGCTGCGGAAGAGCGTCCGAGAGAGTTAAAAGGTCGGAGGACAAGCTCACGGCGTCGTCATTGAAGAGTCAAGACGAGAGAAGTCGAGCGACTGTATCGTCCCGAGAGAATTGGCGTGGGGGAGAAGAGAAAGAAAGGATGAGGTGAGTCAAGGATAAGATATGGAAAGTGGAAGAGTATCAATGATGGCGGCCCCGCGAATGGAAAGAGAGGCGTGCAAATAGCGGGAGAAGCCGAGGCAGTGACCGGAGAGTGGAGGTACGTAGATGCTATTCTTCGGTTGGTCTATGACTTGTGCTTTCAACAACGGAGAATTAATATAAAAAAAAACAATGCTATTACAGTGTCGCGTGAGACAGACCAGACGCGCACATGAAAATGGAACAACTCGGAGGAGAGTTTAGACAAGAGACGAGCCAAGGTGGAAGAAGACGGAAGTGCTCGGACGGAATTGAATGAGCACCTAATGATGATTCTGGGGGGACCATTTCATTCTTCACTTTAAAACGTCATTCTAGTGGAGGAACTGTCCAATTGCTGCTATTGTAAATTGAGCTGTACGGTTACAAGTGGGATCAAGTATGGGGAAGTATTTCTCTAGGCCAGAGGGGTAAAAGGCACATGATGGAGAAGCTGCATCACATTCACGGAGACATGGAGCAACGTTTACATATTCAAGCTTAAGACTACGGTCCAAGGGAGTTGATAGAGCAAATCAATCAAACATCTATTCAGTTTTATAATCATGGGGTTTTAACGGTAAATATTTGTATCATGACTTTGAACCAACAATTTCTAAGTGAAGCCTGTCATTTACACTTCCCCTCATCACCGCCGGTCTCCGAGCTTTAATGTCGGGGTACGGACCTCTCAGCTCGGGGGAAGCTCCGGGCAAGGTCAGGCCACGGAAATGGACTCGCATATAGAACAACAGACCACTCTGCAAGACCTTTCAGTGAATTGTAGGCTTACGGCTATGCTTTTGAGGGAGAAGGGCGTTAGACCTCGGCCTAGACCTTGGTTATGTGCTCCAAGTAGTGGTGTTATCGTGGATGTGCCAAAGCTCAGCTCTCGAAGCAAGGGTAGTTCATTCGATTAGAGTCCTACAGATTCCGAATTTGAAAAGTTTGTAGAATCGCATATGGCGGTTATGACATGTTATAACAGGTATTCCTACGTCAATCCTGATCTGACACCGCTTGGATCAGTATCACGAGGATCTTTGTTGCATTACATAGCCCCTGCCCGAGGAAACAAGCAGGTTCACGGGTAGAATCTCGATTCACTGCACTATCTTCTCGTCTTGGTTAACTTGTCTGCAAAGAAGAGCAACTTCCCCAGACTTTGAGCCCAACTTGGTCTGGGGAGATCGCTCTCAAGTCAAACTAACTACCCCACACCTCAGCACAGGCACGCACATCATTGAGCAAAGCCCTAGACAGGGAGTGCCTGACTAGATGAGGGTTATCAAGACTTTATATAGAGTCTCAACATGGTCGAGCCACTGTTGTGATGTTTGTGAAGACTTGGAGTTCATGCATGCACTTTCAGGTGCTTCGTGGTTGGTGAGATAGCTGGTTTGGGTTCCACGATCGAGTACTGGCTGAGTCACGTGATGCACCATTTGCCATGTTCCTCGTTGAAAAGGGCTGAGACAGAAGCATCATTGATGCCCAGCAGCAAAGAAAAAAGGCGCATCACTCTGAAACCTATGACTGACAACTCAACGAGAGACACTCAATTGGGCGTCTAAAACTGAGCTGTAGGAATGGCCAACACGTGAAAAGATGACGTATCTTGATATTAATACAATCTGATTGGATCGGACAAAATATGGGGTCAGTTCCATCTCCCGTCCCATCATGGCCACAATTCCCCGCCTCAAAGACTAGGAAAATGTTGCTGTTACCATACTCGGCCAAAGTCAAACCGACAGCGCCCGCGTCGAAGCCAAACGTGAGATTTGGCGGCTTCTCTTTATAGTTGAGTTTCTATTGATATCTTAATTTCATCGTCTTTTGTCGCTACTTTCTCGAGTATTCCTCGCTTGTTCTTCCGCCCCCTTTCTTACCTGGGTCTCCTCCCTGCACTGCGGCCCACGCGGGGCCCTTAATTT